TGATAGCTCACATGCAACATTTTTGGATTTTACATTTTGTGGCAAAGTTTTCCCCCTTTTGAGGTATTTCCTAACTTACTAATCTGGATGAGAATTGATTATATGTAGAGATGATGCGACCTGATCAATTTCTCCCCATTTCCTGAATTAAATACAGAGTCACACGAGCTCATCCACCTTGGAGTAGATATTCCTTCTGCGGGCTTTGCTTACTGCCTCACCTGAAAGTCTCACAGTCTGGAGGCTCTGCGGGTGCTGTGGACATAACCTGGTGCTCCTGAAGACCCGAGGGAAGTTCCACAGCCCTAGTCCTCCAAATCTCACAGCCCCTCATCATTTTCCTGCCACTCACTGGAGCAGACATTTCCCAAAATGCACTGACAGACTTCCACTGCTCAGCTACTGTCAAAAATAACTCTTTAAGGTCATGTCTGGGTGTGATGGAGTCTGAACAGCCAGAGGTGTACCGCCTCCATCCTCCCTAGTTGTCATTGGTCCCTAGCTCTGCACTAACAAAGCTCCGCTAACTGGGTGGCATCAGCACAGCTTCCTAGCTCACAGTTCTGTAGTTAGAATTCTGCCGTCAAGGTGTAGTTAGGGCTGGTTCCTGTGTTTGTATAGCTCACCTGGCTTCTGATGGTTCAAGGCCCTCCCTGGCTGGTGCATGGGTTTGCCCCACATTTTCTGCAGTATCTGCCTTTTATACATGTCTGATTTTGCATCCAAATTTCTTTTATAAACTTTTAGACACTGGAAACTAACCAGATCTCACCCCAACAACATTATTTGCAAAGAGCTTATTTCTAAATAAGCCCCATTCTGAGAGCCTTAAAACATCAGCTTACCTTTTTTGCCGATACCAAGTTAACCCATAACAGAAGTCAGCTTGGACAAAGAGGGAGGGAGCAGTGTTAGATAGAGGACATTGTTGGCCCCATGCACTGACGTGGAGGAAGGGGAATGTGGCTGATGTTAAGCTGGCTGATAACTTACTTTATATACTTCCAAAATGAAAGATATTATTTGAATAAGAGAAAAAAGTTGTTTATGTCCAAAAGCTTCCAGACCTTAGGTGCCCCAAGAGGCTTTCTTTGGTCACAGAGCTCTGGAGTTGTTTGGTAGAGTCTCAAAAGCAGAAGGCCTCACTGGGGAGATCAACAAATCTCCTCAGGAGGTGAGCTAGCTCTAGCCGCATTATGGCTTACTTGCCAAGTCTCTCTTGTTTCTTTTTGGAGGGTAGCCTGCTAAAATACCTCTTTAATTAACCAAGTTTAGGCATGTGCTTTTTTTGTGATGTTCCCATCCCATAGCCCTACATCCTCAGCAGAGAAGCCTTCAGTACATTCAGACAACACCAAGGAAGAATGGAAGAAAGAAAAGTCCGTTGGTTCTTTAGACTTATTGGTGTAAAAAGCAGCAGGCTTACAGTTTGGGTGGGAGTCCCCCAGGGACTGGTATATGGTGTTCTCAAGAATGGAGTTGGATGGTGCTGTTATTTTATGTAAATTTATGTAAATTTAGTTCTGAAAACAACAACAACAACACCTGTGTGCCCTGATAGCTAGCAAAGCTTCTGAGGCTCAGCTTTGTGATGGGGGTAGACTGGGAAGGACCACAGCTCTTTGTGATGGGGTAGACTGGGAAGGACCACAGCTCTTTGCTCCACTCTGAACCCCAGACTCTATGTAACACTGGTCCATTGTGTACAGTTCAGCCATCCACTTTTAGTAGTCTGCAAAGTGGCCTGCGCTGGGCTTTCGAGGCTCTTTGGAACATCCTTGGGTCTACACAGGTGGTGTACAGGCAGGGTTCTCTTGGCCTTGACTCAAATGCTTTTGACCCTCATTTGTCTCCAAGATTTCTAGTTGATAAAAGACTATGGCTAAAAAAATGTAGTTTGGGTAATATAACATACGACGATGTCGTTTTTTTTCTTTTATTGTTTTGAGACAGGATCTCATGTAGCTCAGGTTGGCCTTGGACTTGGACTTGCTTTGTAGCCAAGGATGACCAACCTCAACCTCCCCCCGACCCAGTGCTAGGATTGTAGGCAGGGCCACCACATCTGGCCAGCAGAGGGAAATTTCTGAAGGTTTAAAAACTCTTTAAGGAAAGAACATCAGGTTGGTTGAACTCATACACTGGAGGGGGAATAATGATGGCACATAGTGACGGCCACACAGTACTGAACTCCTAGCACGTCTACTGACGATAGTTCTTAGAGCTGACAAGATGAACTGAGGCTTCTCAGAATCTTCTGCCCTGTAATAATATTAAATATTTCCCTGGTGGTGGAAATAATCCCTCAGATATGGTTCTGAGTGCCTTACCATCCGATACTGATGTGTGAAATACCCTTTGAAGTGCAGGAAATACCTCTGGTGTGTGAAATACCCTCTGAAGTGTAGGATGAATTGTATTGTAGGCACGGTACTCTGAGGGTCATACAAGCATAGAATGAGATTTTAGTTTGTCTGTCTAGCCTCCTCCAGATGTCTCTCACTTCAGCCCACTCTGGGACATGGAGCTGACTAGCATCTGTCATCCGTTGAGCTGGATCCACTACCTGTTTGCTGTCTGGTATCAGTAAATCAAAGCGTCAGCCATCAGAGGAAACATGCTTGGCCTGGGAGTGGGGACATGGAGGCATGTCTCATGTAGATCAGGCTGGCCCCAAACTCCTGACAGTCTTGCTTCCAAGTGCTGAGAACGTTTATGTTTTTAATGGTGAATTGTTTCAGAGATTGAACCCAACCTCATAAAGGCTAAGTGCATTCTGCTGAGCTCTGTAATGGTTTCTTTTCAAATTTTTTTAAAAAAATTATTTTATTTTTTAACTGTATGAGTGTTTTGCTGCATGTATGTATACGTACCTTCGCGGTCAGAAGAGGTCATTGTATACTCTGGGAGGGCAGTTCCAGGCAGTTGTGAGCCACCATATTGGTTCTGGGAATTGAACCCTGGCCCTCTACAAGAGCAGCAAATGCTCTTAATGACTGAGCCATTGGTCAAGTTCCTCATGATGAATTCTTAGTGTAGCCTTTGAAACGTTAGTAATTTTAAATGACAGAAAATGATGCTTGAACTCTCCTAGGTAAAAACAAGGACAGAAAGTTGTATATATGGCACAACCTGGGCTATATCCTAACAATACAAAACTAATACATTATTTAAAATAAATAAACAAATAACTGAATAAATAATTGTTTGGAGGATCATGGGAGATTCTTTTCCTTAATGACTATTTTGCAGTATACATATAGTTATATATTGTATTGTATTATATTACTTAGGGATGGAAACTCAAGTAAATGTGGACTTTCTTTTCTAATATATGCTTATTGGTTTTTTTTTAAGATTTATTTATTTATTATGTATACAGTATTGTGTCTACATATATCCTATAGGCCAGTAGAGGGCATCAGATCTCATTAAAGATGGTTGTGAGCCATCATGTAGTTGCTGGGAATTGAACTCAGGACCTCTGGAAGAGCAGTCAGTGCTCTTAACCTCTGGGCCACTTCTCCAGCTTTGCTTATTGGTTTTTCATTGAGGGTAAGCCAGATCAAATCTTACCTATAATAGTGTTTCAAAAACAAAGATGGCAGCTTCAATGTCTCGCATTGAGCATGTTTATATAAACGACAAAGAAAAAAGCAAAGCCTGAGTTCTGTTCTTGATTTAAACTCTAAAAATGCTAAAACAATGGAGGCGACCAGTACTGTGGACCAGCACTGTAGTTCTGGTAAACATCTATTACTCTTTGCCCTTCTGCCTCCCCAAACAAAACATATTTATTCACCAGCGTTTTAGCCCAATTTTATTGAGCTCAGCATTTCCCAAAAAACTGAATTCAGTAAAGTCAAGATGGGTGGTCTAGAAGTGTACTTTAAGACTGAGATTAATCTTTTGCTCTTTGTTTTTGGGGACAGGATGATCAAGACAAAGGCAAGGCCATGATGGGGACACCCACTGAAAACAGTTTACCTGAGCTAATGGAGCTCACCAACTCCAGTCAGACAGGGAAGGAAATAGCATAGGTCCAAACTAGTCCCTCTGAATGTGAGTGACTTTGTATGGCTGGGGCAGATTGAGGGGCCCCTGGCAGTGGCACAAGGATTTATTCCTACTGCTTGTACTGCACTTTTTTGGAACCTCTTCTCTTTGGAGGGATACCTTGCTCAGCCCAGATATAGTAGGGACAGCCTTGGTCCTTCCACAAAGCAATGTGCCTTACCCTCTCTGAGGAGTGGATGGGGATAGAGTGGGGGAGTAGGTGAAGGGAATGGGAGGAGGGGAGGGAATGAGAACTGGGATTGGTATGTAAAAATTTTAATAATAAATTAAAAAAAAGAAGACAAAGGTGAGGGATTCCTGGGAAGGTTGCAAGTGCTGGGGGAATTTCTGGTGTCACCATATTAAAAAAGAATTTGACCTTTCAGACGCTAAAATGATAATATTTGTATATAATTGCACCACTGAAGTCTAGGGCACATATAACCAATATTCGGCTGAAGGCTAAATAAAAGAAAAAGTCTGTCTGCATTGGAATTCTCAGTGCACCTTCAAGCTGCATCTCATGACAAATTCACCACACAATCTTTAATCGCTTAAATGTGGTGAGAGAATCTCTCTGGGGAAATGGCGTCTTTGTGGCTCTTGAAATTTCTTTTTATCTGATTCTTTTCCCTTCCATCTTAGCTTCGAAATCTCTAAATAACAAATATTGAGATGAGCAAGTATTATCTGTAAATATGTGTTAACTAAACTTGTTAAAGGAATTATAGGGAAATGAACAACATCCACCATTATCAGTTTGATAAATGCAAGTTCATTTCACACAGAGGAAAGCAGCTACAAATGACCCACTTTAAATTGAACTTTTACAAGGAATCTGCAAGTGGGTGTCACATTGGTTATGCTTCTCGGCAGAGTGGCAGATCTGAATACTTTGTTGCATCTAAACAAGGCTTAGCCTTCTTCTCTGTCTTTGTTTCCAGATGGTCTCCCAGCTTGAAGCCCAGATATCAGAGCTTGTCGCACAGTTGGGAAACGAAGCTGAGCTTCACCGGAAAACCCTCCAGAGGGCCCAGGAGGCAGAAAGCAAGGTGGAGGCACTTCAGGGTCAGCTGAGTCACCTGGAGGGAGAGCTGCTTTCTGGAGACGTCTTGAGAGACAACTTGAATCTTGAGAAACAAAAAGTAATAATGGGGATGGCACATCCGTGGTGCGGGCGTCTGCCGTGGGCTAACCCTGTACCTGACAACATTCTGAACACTGCAGTGTTTAGACTGATCATGTCTTGAGTTATAAGCAAATTTCCAAGGAATAATAAGCCTCTTTATATTGCTTAGGGTTCCCTTGATAGTCAGTCCTGTTAAAGTCAGTATGCATGTATTGTATGACCACTCTTTATGAGGTTGGGATGTTTGGGGTAGCTGAAGTATAGGTGATTTATAGTTTCTATTATTAAAGGCTTAGCACTTAATAGAGGAGGCAGACATTAAGATGCCCTGCTGTACCCTAGACTATATACATTATAGTTGTCATAGTGTATTAATAAAGTATTGTAGACATTTCTGGGCAGTGAGGAGATTTTTACAAGAGAGGAGATGGTTCAACTGATCTTTGAAGGTTAAGTAGGATGATCGTAAGGGAAGGGGCAGACGCTGTAGATGGAAACAGTTTAAACAAAGGCATAAGGTCTTGTAAATGCTACACCCAGAGAATGCAGAGTGGGTGGCTATATGGTGGAATGTGGCATTCTTAGTGGGGCCACGACAAAGAAGGGAATGGGAAACGAAGATCTTTTAGACCTAAAGTTCCTTTTCCTCTGTAGAATATAAAGCATCTTTAATGACCGTGAAGCTCAGACCTACACGTGCTATTGTCGGTGGTAGACCGCATGTATGAGAGTGGTCCTGTATGGCCATGGCTGGGCCGTTTTGTAGAGGTAGAGCTGTGCTTACCATGCACAAAACCCTGGGTCGCATACTCAGCACCTCAGAAGTTCAAAATGATAAACTCATCGGTGGTGATGTGCCTGTCCGTGATGTCCCCACGCTGATCTGATGCTGCAGGACCTGGATCCTTCGTGAAGCAACAGACGCCTGGTGGAGCTGAGATCTTACAATGGAACCACTCAGAAGGGAGGGAACCAGTAGGGTAGCAGGAGACAAGTGGGCCATGAGAGAATAGTCCACCCCAGGGACCTGGGCATGGAGAGGACAGCATGACTTGGAGGTAGTTTTGCAGAATGGTGAGGAAGTGAGCTCGCTTGCCTCATGCTGAGTGTGGCTGGAAGGGAAGGGGTGCAGAGTCGTGAAAAGCAGGGTCGAAGAAAGGCTTTGTGGGTAATAGTGTGGAGGGGAGACCTCATGAGCTACAAGGGTCCATGAGAGAGAGGGCAGGAACAGAAAAGGAGGCACATAGGATCAAGACTATAGGGACAAAATTTGTCACGAGAGATACTCTTTGGCTGAGAAAAGTGTATTCTGTAAACTCGCTCCTTATTTTTCTGAACTTAAAAGAAACTGAGGATATGCCATGGCTACATTAGGGGTCAGATATGCAGAGATGCCTAAGAGGTGTCTGTGGAAGCCAACACACACGATATGGGTGGATCAGAGGCTGGTCCGCCTGGTGCTCTGATGGAGATGGAGGTGGGATGTGTCAGGAGCTTGGAGGCAAGAATGACAGCTTGTTTCTTATTTCCATATATGGCGACATGATCCTCCTCCTTTTCTTTTTCCTCTTCCTCTTCTTCATCTCCGTTCCCTTCTCATTCCTCCTCTTCTTCTTCTTCTGGCAAGGATTGGGTCTCACTCTAAAGCTCTTTCCAAATAAGTGTTATCGTTAGTCTTCATTAAAATTCTGCCAAAATAGTTCTCAGTTATGAAAGCAGATTGCATAAGCTAATTATGTCCACAGTGAGTTTTTCACAGATGCAAGTAGTAAAATGGCCATGTAAAACTGAAAGTAAAGTTGCCTAGAGGTTAAGTGCTAGATAAAATCTAGACTAGTACAATATAGGGTAGAATGCCTGGTCTCTAACTCACACTAAACTGTGATTCGAAGGAATAAAATACACAGAATCCCTTTTTTCCCCCTATAAAGCTGAAGATTTTTAAGCCAGTTGGGCATTCCTGTATTACTAGGGTGCTGAGACACAGGACCATGAGATTGAGATACCCTGGGCTACATAGTAAGTTCAAAGCCAGCCTGGGGTACATGGTGATAGTGTACCTCAAAACCAAAAAACAGAATAAAACAAAAACAAAATATAGGAAAAAGGAATAAAACAACTTGCCATCACCCAAAATCTTAAAAAAAAGAAAGATTTATTTTAGTTTTAATTACGTGTATCTGTGTGGTTCTGAGTGTAGGTTTGAACACATGAGTGTAGGTGCCCAAGAAGGCCAGAAGAGGGCATTGGATCCCTTGGAGTTGGAGTTAGAAGCAATGGTCACTTGAAGGGTACTGGGAAACAAACTTGGAGACCCTGCAAGGACCGTGCATGCTATCAACTGCTGAGCCGTTCCCCCAGCTCCTTGATTGTAACTACATGGAACAGCTAAAGGCCTTGAGAGAGGCGCGTCCTCTGCGGGGCCTTGGTTGGGTCCCATTTGCATCCCTTCTTGCCTGTTGTAGAGCCTGGCATGCAGACCAATTGGGCCACACAATTTTTCTTTTAATTTTTAAAATTTTAGATATTAAGCCTCTTTGGATGTGTAATTGGTAAAGATCTTTTCCCGTTCTGTAGCCTGCCAATTTGTTCAAATGCCCTTGTCCTTTGTCATACAGAAACCTTTGAGTTTCATGAGATCCCATTTATTAATTGTTCTTAGTGCCTGTGTTTTGCCCAGAAAGTCTTTTCCTGTGCTAAGGAGTTCATTACAGTTCCTCACTTTCTTCTTGATCAGATTCAGTGCTTCTGGCATTATGTTGCGGTCTTTTATCTATTTGAAGTTCAGTCTTATGCAGGGTTGTAAGTATCGACCTGCATTTTTCTACATGCAACTATCAGTTTGATCAGCATTATTTGGTATAGATGCTGTCTTTTATCCAGTGTGTATTTCTGGAGTCTTTGTCAAAAATTAGGTGTTCATGGGTATGTGGTCTTATTTCTGGATCTTCAATTCAATTCCATTGATCAATGTATCTATTTTTATGCCTACACCTCAGTGGTACTACTTGAGATCAGGGATGGTGACAACTTCAACAGATCTTTTGTCATTCAGGATTGTTTTTAGCTATCCTGGTTTCTTTGTGTTTCCATATCGAAAACCGACCTTTCAATTTCTGGGAGGAATTGTGTTAGAATTCCCATGGGGATTGCATTGAATCTGTAGATTGCTTTTGGTAGGATGGCCATTTTCAAATATTAATTCTACCAATCTATGCGGGTAAGTCTGCTTCCTCCACTTAAAATACAAGCAATAGCAGCTAGGTCACGTTCAAGCACATAGCAGAGATGAAAGAAGATCCCAAAGGGGAAGCACCAGAGCAAGAGGAGCTGGTGGCATGAGGACTCGGATATGAAGCTGTCTGTGGGGCCAAAGCGTGGTGAATGATGCTACAGTGATAGTTACTGTAGATTATAACGACGATAATTAATTTATCTGTATGCTACTTAACAAAATGGGAAAATATATGCTTGCAGATAATTCCATCCTGATGAGCAAAATATAGATAGTTCAGACCTTAAGTTGATCCACTTGGATGGCTGGAAATTATACTCTTTTCAGCATTTAATTGCCTGGAAGTGCCAGATGCTGAGAAGTTACCGCCACGAGAAGGCCTTATTGGAGACAGAAGCCCAGGCCCGCAGTTAGCACAGAGCAAGTTCACTGATGGATTGATCCACTCACCTAGCACACACACAGCATTCTGTCTGAATTCACCCAGAGAAACAACAACAGCCAAATGAAGGAAGACCTTTAAGCGTTGTGCAAGTTTAGTTGGTGAAACTATGAACCGTGTGGGCTGGAGAGATTCTAGGGTTAAGAGCTCTTGCTGGTCTTGTACAGGCCGCAGGCAGCAGCCACCCACGTGGAGACTCACAGATGAATGTCTGTAGCTCCAGTCTAGTGGATCCGATGCACTGTTTTAGCCACCCACGGCACTGCCTGCGTGTGGTGCACATGCGTGCATACATGAGGGCAGAAACACATAAAAATAAGTTAAATATTTAAAAGAATGCAGACTATGGCATCTTTCATACAGTTATGCTTTAGAGTGTTGGTCACCTAATCGTGTTATAGTAAACACTTTAAAGAGCATTTTCTAAAGCCCCTTCCCCATGTGTGCGCATGCGTGCATGTGTATGTGTGTGAGTGTATGAGTGTGTGTATAAGTGTGTGTGAGTGTGTAAGAGTGTGTGTGTGAGTATGTGAGTGTGTGTATGAGTGTGTAAGTGTGTGTATGAGTGTGCATGAGTGTGTAAGTGTGTTCATGAGTATGTGAGTGTGTGTATGAGTGTGCATGAGTGTGTAAGTGTGTTCATGAGTATGTGAGTGTGTGTGTATGAGTATGTAAGTGTGTGTATGAGTGTAAGCGTGTGTATGAGTGTATATGAGTGTGTAAGTGTGTATGAGTATGTGAATGTGTGAGTATGAGTATGTATAAGTGTGTATGAGTATGTATAAGTGTGTATGAGTGTGTATATGAGTGTATAAGTGTGTATATGTGTGTGTATGAGCGTGTGAGTGTGTAAGTGTGTGTGAGTGTGCATGAATACGTAAGTGTGTATGAGTGTGTAAGCATGTGTATGAGTGTGTGCATGAGTGTGTAAGTGTGTGTGTATGAGTATGTGAGTGTGTGGGTATGAGTGTGGGTATGAGTGTGTAAGCGTGCATATGAGTGTGTATGAGTGTGTAGGTGAGTGTATAAGTGTGTGTGTATGAGTGTGTGTGTGAGTAGGCCAAAGGTTGAAAACATACGTCTTCCTCAGTTGCACTTCACCTTATTTTGTGAGTTACAGTCTCTCGCTGAACCTGAAGCCTACTAATTTGGCTACACTGGCTGGCCAGTGAACCCCAAGGCCTCCTCTTGTCTCTGCCCACTTCATGCTGGATTTACAGGCATATTCAGGGCCTGATTTTTTAAAAAATATATGTTTTGCAGTTCACACTCCTGTCGCCATGGTTGGACTGCAAGCGCTTTACCAACTGAGGCATCTTTCCAGTCCCATTAAAGCTTTTTAACTAACCCACCCAACTATTGTTCAACTTTAGTGTATATGTGGAGAACTTTGGTTTTGGGGTGTTTGCTGAGTGCTGGGACAACTTGGGAGGGCCAAGGTTGCAGGGGCTTTTTGTCAAGACACACAGTAAGAAACCAGGGTGGAATTAGGAACGTAGCCCATTTGTTGTATGGCAGGACTTAGAAGTGTGTTTGATATTAAGCTGACATCAAGGTTCCTAGCCAGGACAGTGCAGAGAGTTTGCACAGGAAGATGGCAGAGAATTGGTAAGGTGGTTCAAACATTCATTTCCAAATCTTGGGGTGAGAATTTCAGCTCTGGGATGACACAAAAGAGACACCCACTTGTGAGAGAGAGGACTCAGTGAGCCCGCACCCTAACCCACACCTCCCACTTTCATTCTTGTTTCTGGATCTAGTATCTGAAGTTTCTGGATCAGCTTTCAGAGAAAATGAAATTGGGCCAGATAGTGGCTGACCTTGGCTTTGACATGCGTCTGGACGTAGTTTTAGGTCGCGCCGAGCAGCTAGTCCTCCTCGAAAGTAATGCTGTCATTGAAAACAAGACCATCGCTCACAACTTACGGAGAAAGGTAGGCAACGCTGCACTTCATAGTACTGAGAAAAGAAACTTCTGGAAAACCTAAGTGTTAAATTGACTTTATTACACTGTGATCAGTAGTGTGTTTAAAAAGCATATTATTAAAAAATATGTATTTAGAAGTCAAGTTTTAATTCAAAGTTTTGAAAACCTGATTCATGGGTCTATCACCTGGCTCTCGTGAGCCTTGCTTGGGATTGCCCGTCCTCATGGTGGTCTTTATATCCATGGCTCAAAACAGCAACTAGAACCATTTGTCTGTGTTCCATGCTGAAGGTTGGAGGAGGGGAGAAGAGGGAAGCCAAAGATGCAAGTGATGGCTTATAAAGAAGATTCTGGAAGATGCTAGCTGAACTTATGTTTATACCACAGCCAAACCTGGCTGCAAGAGAGACTTGCAGACAGAGCTGCCAATTCTCCTAGTTTCCTCTGAGCAAGGAGGGAAGCTGGGGGCACCCAGCGGCTCTGCGCATGCCGCTCTTTTGAGCTAGACAGTACAGAGAGAAGGGCTCGCTTTTCTCCAATTGAAGGCAGAGTTGGCAATCATTTATAGCAAGTGAGAGAACGGATGAGTGAAAGGGATAAAGCATAATTATCAGCTGTATAATTATCAGCACCAGAGAAAGAAGAAAGGACACGCAGATGCGTCCTTATAATACTTCTCAGGATAAATGTTTTGTGTAGCGGCTATACAGTGAGTCACATCTGGATCCTTGGATTCTGCCAGACTGTGAAATCTTGGAATAATCACATACCTCTCTCTTTCTTCATATTAAGACAGGAATGACATACACCTCACAGGAGCGTTAATTTTAATAAGGGAAAATTTGAATTCCTGTCTCATGGAATAAATTTGGTTCTCAGTCCCTGCCCCAGTTCACCCTAGTTCTGGAGAAATCTTTATGTATATGTAACCTGATAACCATCAGGGACGTCAAATGTACCAAAATTCTTTCTTTACTTCTTCTCAGAGAATTGATTTCCTCTCCTAATGCCCAATGCTATTCCTTCTTAAGAATTATACCATCATTAAAATTACTGGTGTATTGAATTTATCAGTGGACTTTTGCATCAGGGTGCAATTTGACCCGATGAAACTCAAGAAAGGGAGTTGGGGGCAGCCCAGATGGTTCACTGGGTGGAAGTGCTTGCTGCCAAACAATCTGAGTTTGATCCCTCTGATAGGAAGAGAGGATCCCTCTGATAGGAAGAGAGGATGGATTCCCACATGCATCTCTACAGCCTCCTCACCCTGCACACAAGATGTGGCATGCTGGTGCTCTCCTACCATACACACAATAAATCAAAATGTGTTAGAAAAATTGGATAGGCCCACACCATTGGAACATAGTCAATGCTTATTGGATTCCGTGGGAATGAAGTAGGAGTGATGATGATGATGATGATAAAATAATAGTGACAGAGAGCTTGAGGCTGGGAAAGGTGGGTGGTGGGTCATGGGGAGAGCAGGACAGTCGTCAAGTGAGGTGGTTGGACTGAGGTTTCCATAAGATCAAAATGCATTGTATACATATATGAAATGTTCAAAGAATAAATAAAGCCATTATTCAAAATGTTAAAAGGGATTAGATTGGAGAAATATCTGGCAGAATTTTCAAGGGGTGACCCAGGTGTGGTCACAGCTGTCACTGATAAGAAATGCAAAGTAGTTTAAGTCCTTCCACCTCTTAACACTTAGGGGATAATGAGGGCTCACATGACAGTCTTCATCTGGGGGTGGGGGGTGAAGAGGAGGGGTAGAGGGGTGAGGGTGGGCGCATCAGTATTCACCAGTTCTTGATTCCTCCTCCCGGTGTTTATGACCAGTGACAGAACTGCCTGGATTTACTATCTGCCCAGTAAAGTGACAGGCAGAGCCCAGGAGACTCTCTCCTCTGGTAGTCATTTTCTACAACCCTCTCTAATTCCCTTCATTAGTCTGATTGCCAACAGGCAGCGATGTTCAAGAGCTTCCTCCTGGCCTGGGTGGAGGAGCTCACAGCCTAACACAAAGAGTTCAAAGAAGCGAAATCTTCATGAAGTCTGTTTCTGAGATTTGGAAGTTTGTAAACAATTTCGTTAAAAGTCTCCTGGTTACATCTTCTGTAAGAATGTATCAACCCTCCTTGTAGGAGCTACTTAGCCTGGTGCTGAGGGGCTCAGATCATCTACGGAGGTTTTCATATGATGCCGGACCTCTTGTTCCAGTAAACACTGGTGCAGCAATCGTGGCCACTGAGCGTTGGAGAGGATTTTGTCTGTCTTATTACATCCTTCTTATTCTGCCCTTGATAAGCCTATTTTATTAGTCTTAGAAGTAATTTTACATTTTTATTATGAGGCACAGAATATTGGACGAAGCAGCTGTGGAGAGCTGACTTTTGTCACATTTTCTGGGGCTTCTTTGTCCCGTACTTTGTAGCTACAGAATTAATTCTTGGAAAAAATATGAATAAAAAAATCCAATCAGGGAAAGGAACCCAGTGACCGTTTTTTGATGCTTTGCAAATGAGTCTCATTGACGTGCAGATAAAAATCGACATTATCTGAGTAATTCATTTATATTTACTGAGTGTTCAATTATTTTGTCAAAAAAAAAAAATCCGTTTGTACCAAACCAGCTAAAGACTCAGAAAGAAAGACTGGAGAGCAAAGAAGTTCATATGAACCTCCTTCGGCAGAAAATTGCCCAGCTGCAGCAGGAGAAGCAGGCGCGCACAGCCTTGGCTGAGGAGAGGGATGAGGCCCAGCTCTCCCTCAGGAAGCTGGAGAAGAAGGTGGAGAGGCTGCAGAGGGAGCTGAGCACGTGTCAGGAATGCAACACCGAGCTCAAAGCCAAATTGGCCGACACCAATGAACTCAAGGCAAGTGTGTGTTTCCTTTCTCTGTCCCTTTCTGTAAATGCACCTCAAAGTATACACTAAGGAAGGGCATCCTTGATTCAGGCATGGCGGTGCGTGGCTGCAATAGCAGCACTTGAAAGGTAAAGCAGGTAGACCAGAACTTCAAAGTCTCTCTCGGTTATATACAGAATTGAAGGCCAGCTTGGGTTATGGAAGACCTCAAATAAAAGAGGGCAAAAAAGGTGGGGCTGGTGAGATGGGTTCAGTGTGTAGCCTCCTCCTGTAAGTGGTCTGAGATTCCTGGGGAAATTCCCATTTCTTTGGGGTCTGCTATGTCAATAGTCTGAAAGATTGAGAGACACCAGTGTCTAAGTAGAGTGCCTGCCTTTCCAGTAGGCCAGCTACAGAAATCTTAGTTAGATAAGAACTTGTTTTGGAGGCGATGAGGAAATAGAGGCTCTATTTACTGAGGGTCAGAGTATCGTCTTAGGGTTGCTATTGCTGTGATGAGACACCATGACCAAAAGCAAGCTGGGGAGGGAAGGATTTGTGTGGCTTACATTTCCATCACAGCCCATCACTGAAGGAAGTCAGGGCAGAAACCTGGAGGCAGGAGCTGATGCAGAGGCCAGGGAGGGGTGCTGCTTATTGGCTTGCTCCTCATGGCTTGCTCAGTCTGTTTCCTTAGGGCACCCAGGGCCACCAGCCCAGGGATGGTCCCACCCACAGTGAGCTGGGCCCTTCTCCACCCATCACTAATTAAGAAAATGCCCCACAGGCTTGCCTACAGTCTGATTATGAAAGTATTTTCTTAATTGAGGTTTCATCCTCTCTGATGACTTCGGCTTGTCTCAAGTTGACATAAAACTAGCTGGTACAAAAATATATTGTAGAAAAGGCTCACAGACAGGGGCGATGAACAGGTACTGTTGCAGGTCATATCTGACAAAGTTCAGTTCTGGAATTTTGCTTAGCAATTTCCCTCTTGTTCAGAGGAGGTTTATTTTGTTTATTTATTTATTTGGCTTATACGTAGGACTTCATTTGATTGGAAGACATCTACCCATATTAACTAGAACAATCTGTCTTGAAATATTTTGAGTCTCAATTTTAATTGTAGCATATTGCTGGGCAGTGGTGGCTCACGCTTTTAATCCCAGCACTCGGGAAGAAGAGGCACGAGGATCTCTGTGAGTTCAAGGCCAGCCTGGTCTAGAGAGAGAGTTCTAGGACAGCCAGGACTGTTACACAGAGGAAACCCTGTCTTGAAAAAAGAAAAAAATAATCGTGGCATCTCAGAGGCTGAGGCAGGAGGATTATGCATTTGAGGACATCATTGACTGTATAGTGGGAGTCTGTGTAGGCAAAGCAAGGTGAAGCAGAAACAAAAAGTGTCTACCTATTTTTAATCTCACCTTCAAACATCGACCAGGAAATACCTAGAACACCCTCTTACCAAATATCTGGACATCATGGCCCCGTCAAATTCTATTAGCCATTGTAATTCCTTTTGATGGGTGACTAGTAATCCATTGCATGGATGTACCACCTTCTGTTCCTCCCTTTAGGTTTAACTGGACACCCGAGATCTTTCCACTTTGGGGCTGTTACAAATGAAGCTGCTATGCACATTGTGCTCCAGTTCTCATGTGTACCCCCATATCCATTGTATACTAAGGCCGAAGACCTTGACTCCAGGTTATCTGAATATCTCCTTGAAAGATCCATGCATTAGGTTTTTTTTTTTTTTGAGCTCTAAGATCAAGAAAAAGCAAAACCCTTTCCAGACCAACTGTTAAATTTTAAACCGCTGAAAATTATCTTGGCATGAAAACCTAAGAATTATGGAAATAATTTTGAAAGAGAACGATTTTTGTGTAGATCTTCCTTATGGAAATAATTTTGAAAGAGAACAATTTTTGTGTAGATCTTCCTTCTTGTGTTAAATTTAGAATGATTTTATGATATCGCTTACTTAAGACTACATAAATTGGTCAATTGCATTACATTTTTACCACTATGAAACCAAAACCAATTTAGAAATCAAAGGATAAAGACGCAAACTAAGAAATTAATGATATTAATTCAGTGTAACTGGTGCTGCTATTCAACTAAAATCACCTTTAATAAGAATGTGCGGTGTTGCCTGCAACTTTTGAGTGTGCTCTGACCTTGGGTTCTCCCTGCATGAGGGAGTGTGTTCTACCATGTGCTTCATTTTACTAGGGCGAACCCCCTATATGCATGGTGATATAGTTTGACCTTAAGTTTGCATGAATGTATATCTGACTTATGTATGCATTTGTATTATTCTTTTCTTATTAACCTGGGGTTATTAAAATAGTGTTACAATTTGGCACAAATATCACTAAATAAGCAAATGCAGGCACTGAAATCTTGTGGAACACTTTTAGAGGATGTAGAAGAGGTTTTGTGTAACCTCCCTATAGCCAGATGCTTCACACCCTGCCTTACATGTTTGGACCTCAGGAAATTCCTCAGCACTGCTCTGTGTGTGTGTGTGTGTAAAGGAGCAGGCATGCCATATTCAGAAGGCCCTCTCAGTGGCCCTCAGAAGCCTGGCTTGTTCTGATTTCACCTGGAGCATTCTAGCCAATGTCTTCATTCTCTTTCATCCCCAGTCCCAGGGAGTTGCTGGAGCTCTGGCTTCATGCCAGTCGCTAGCCAGGAGGAAGGCGTGAAGCCCATCTGCTGGCTATTCTCTGGAAAGGATATAACAGCTCTATGTCTCCACTGGCCAGAACTTAGTCTCCTGACCTTGGTTAAATGAGGTCAGTCAGAGGAATAGGTCTTAATTCTGGTCAGAGAGAAAGAACAGACCAGCTGTCTGGTGGAGAGCCTTAGCTGCGGCCTCTAGCATGTGGCCAAACCCTTGTAAGAGCCGTGACTCAAAATCAGCTCCCAAACCCAGGGGCAAGTCATTGGTGTCTGCTTTGTGGTCTCCCAGAAAGCATCAGAGAAGACTATAACCATCAGCCATAGGCAAAGCTTTCTTCTCTTTCTGACTTTCTCCATATATCCCTCATATGGAAGCTATTCCCCATGGTCCTTCCCCATGGACATGGTTCCCACCCTGCCAGTGTAGCCCTTACTACACTGTCTCCTCTTCCTGGAGACAGCTGTTTGACAGTGCCTCCCCCCATCTCCTGGATTGCTTTTCTCACTGTGCACAGTAAACAGGGCCTGTTGAAGGCAGACTGCTTGCTTTTTGAAGTGAAGGTAACTTTGCTGCCAGCTCCCCAAGTGTGGCCTGCTAGGGAGGAGAAGTGAGGCGAGAGGGCACAGAGGGATATCTCCCTCCCTCACAGAGCTGTGTCTCTGTGGACACAGCATCTATTTTGGCCACCAGGAGACCTTAGAACAGCGGCTTTCAACCTGTGGGTCATGACCCCCAAGGGGTCAAATGCTAAGACGATAGGAAAACACAGATATTTCCACTCTGATTTCTAAACAGTAGCAAAATTACAGTTAGAATTAGCAATGAAAGTTACTTCATGGGTGAGGGGATCAGCACAACATGAGGGACTGTAGTAAGGGGCCACAGTATTAGGGAGGTTGAGAACATCACAGCCCCAGTTCATGGAGGGACTCATGCTCTCTGCTTGATGCCTGCCAAAGGTTTGCAGTGTCTCTACAACTACACTAGGGGACTTAGAGCCTGGGGTCAGCCAACACCTAGGAGTTCTGATTTATTCACCTTTCCTGCCCGGGCCTCTGACACTTACGTAGAAGAGAGAATCACCCACCAGATTACACAGTTCTTTCCTGGGAAGCAGTCAGCACACAGTGTTTATCACAAGTGGCACCCTGGGAACCTTTCCCTTCCTAGCTGGACTCCTGATGATACATCAATCTTTTTTATGACCGGTTCTGTCCTGCTGGAGGAAAACTAGAGGCCAGTTGCTTGCTGAACTCTGAGCTGCCCTGAGAAGATCCCTCAGGGGGATTAAGAAACCAAGTTAGTCCCACCCCACTCCCAGGAATCTGTTGGTTTGATTTTAGAGTCTCCGTCCTTCTTGCTGGCTCCTAGCTCTGTCCCGGTAACCTGACTTGGCGCTCCCTTCCTTAGAACCCCAGCAGTCCTCAGTGTAAGGAGAGGTGGTGTCCCCAGTGAATGTGTGCGGCTGACAAGGACACAGCCGTCTCAAAGACCCTAATGCCTCAGCCTGTGGGAGTGGTAAGGCCTTCCCTAGTGGGGCTCAGAGAGACGGGAAAGTCTCTCTGTGGTCTGACAGGGGGTGTGGAAAATGTCCACTGTAGCTTTCGCCCTTGGAGGTTCTCCTTAGAGACTGCTCCTCCTGAGACTAGGAACCCAGGCCTCCCCGTTCAGTGGTCATGAAAACTCAGCTCCTTGTTTATCTGTATAATAACTTGCCTCTGTGTTCAGCTGGATGCAGTAACCTCACTTCTCTGCAACTTTAGGTAACATGCTGAGCATCTGAATGCTGTGGCTTCTCCACTGGAGAGTCCTGACCTAGATGCACACTCGTGTGTCTGTCATTTCTTCACTCCCTGGCTTCCCCAATAGGGGTTCTGGGACCTGAGCCAGGCAAGGACATGTCTGCTCTGGGCTGTGCAAAGCCTCTGATTGTTAGGGTCCTTTCCTCTTTCTTCTCATTAGGACTGTCTTATAGTCACTTCTGGTCTCCACGCTGTGACCTGTCACCTGTGCTGGACATTTCACCATGTTTTCTCAGTACAGACAGAAAGCTGAATGTATCCATTCCAGTGATTCAAGGCTTCATACTCAAAATCCCAACCCCGGCGGCTTTGTGGTTGAGCATTGCTTTTCTCTGCGATAGTGATGTGGCGTGAATGTTAAGAATCTCTGTTTAAATGGTTAATGCTTTCTTTCTTTCTTGCTTTCTTTCTTTCTTTCTTTCTTTCTTTCTTTTGTTTTGTTTTGTTTTTCAAGGCAGGGTTTCTCTGTGTAGCCTTGGCTGTTCCGGAACTCACTCTGTAGATCAGCCTGGCCTCAAACTCACAGAGATCCGCCTGCCTCTGCCTCCTTTAATCTGCTGGGATTAAAGGCGTGCACCACAACCTGGTAATTTGGTAGGTTTTAATCCATGTAATTTACTCAATTGGAAAATTGTTTGATAGTCTATACAATATATTATTTGAAGTAGTATGTTTAGGGCCACCATCTCAGAATATTCATTTCTGTGTTTTCTAAAGGTATGCTTACAGACTTATCCAAACACTATTTAATTTCAGAATATGTTTGGCGTACGCAAAGAAACTCGGTACCCCTAAATTGTAACTCCCTGTTCTCCTTTCCCGCTAGTCTCAGACCTTCTCTGTCTTCCTTCTCCCTCTGGCTCTTCCTGATGAAGAGAATTGTGTGGTTCTTGGCACTGGCTTCATTCTTCTGTCATGATGCTTTTGGGGTTCATCCGTGCTACAGCATGTCGTGGTACTCCATTCTTGTTTGTTGCTCTGTGACACATCTCAATGTCTGCCTCTGCTACCTTTTTCCTGTCCATCAGTTGACGGACATTTGGGTGGTTCCCACTTTTGGTGCTTATGAACAGTGCCTCTTTGAGCTTGTATACAACTTTTTGAGTGGGCATATGGTTTCACTTCTGTCTGGCTTGTAACTAGGGGTGAAATTGCGGATCATATAGTTGGCATTTTCAAAACTACCTTCCCTATTACTTATACCATCTTATATTCCATCTAGCAGTATGTGAGTGTTCTAACTCCCCTAATTCCCTGCTAACTTTTGTAATTGTCGACTTAATTTTAGCCAAGTTAGTGGACCTTGTCTTGTAGCTTATTTGTACTTATTCATTTGGATTCTTTTTTTTTTTTTGACATAAGCTCTTACGTAGTCTAGACTGATCTAAACTCACTGTGTGGGCAAGGCTGGCCCTGAACACCTGATCTTACTGCCTCCACTTCTCAAGCGCTGGAATTGAAAGTGTATACCACTGTCTTAGTTTCCTGTCTGTTACAGTGATGAAATACTCCAACTAAAAGCAGCTTAGAGCACAAAGGGTTAATTTTATCTTACAATTCCAGGCTGCAATTCATCTTTGCAGGAGCCCCACTTCTCTGTTCAATCTGTGATAACAATGCAGAGCTTCGGAGATGATGAGGTTTTTCCAGAAGACAGCACAGACCACCTGATCCCAGCTTTTCCTCACGTCCGTCTGTCCATCTGTCTTTTCTTCATTCCCTCACTGCTCCCTTTGGGTCTGTCCTTGGACCTGTGCTTGACCCAGGGCTTGGCTTCCTTGAATTCCTTTGTAAGGAGCCACAGTGGCTCACAAACTCACAGTGCAAACACCTCCCGTTCCAGGAGCCTCAGTCAGGGCTTTAAGGCCATCACTGCCCTTTGTCTGCACAGGATTCGGTGACATCCTTTGCCTCATGTTCATTGGTGGTGTCTAGAGACTCTGCTGAATAACTGCAGATGAAAATTTCCCTCACAGCCATGAGGGAGGCTTGCTGACAGACTCCCGCATGACACCATTAGAAGAGCAGGCATTTGGCCACTGCGAGGCACAGGGACTCACTGGTTAGCATAGAAAGTCTGGCTTGCTCACAGGTTTTATTTTAGCAATCTCACTCCAGAACCATGCTGTCTGCAATTTTATTGGGTTGATTTCCCAAATAAGGGTACTCTGCTTTATCGTTTAGTAAGCAGCAGGGACTGAGGTCACACTTGTCCACTTTATGCTGTTCTCCAAGGTCTCTGTAGCTGCTTGGGATGAAGTCCGTTCATTATTCATAAAAAAAAAAGTTAAGTGAGTTCCATTGACTTCTGAGTTATCTTTGCATCCAGATCTCCTAAAGAAGAACAAGGGAAATGATCCTGATTCTCTTGACTCCTTAGATTAAAGTTTTGGAACAGACCAAAGCCATCGAAGACTTAACTAAATCCCGAGACGATCTGGAGAAGCTGAAGGAAAAAGCAGAGAAAAATCTCATGTCGGTCAAGTCCAAGCTGGATGCTACAGAGGAGGAGGCGAAAGAGCACAGAGAAAGGGCCAGGGCCATGATAGAGGTGGCCGTCATTGAACTGGAGACCCTGAAGAAGTCTCTGGAAGACACTGAGAGGAGAGAACAGCAGGTAGATAAAATCAGCCGGTGGGATGCTTTAAAGCGACAGGAGAAGTCACACACTTAGCGATATGGACGGCTTTGGGAATGGGTGTGCCACCCTGCCCAGGGCCACACTCAGCTCCCGTGTGACAATCTAATTTCAGTATATATGCTGCCCAGAAGAGCGTTATTCATACATTTCTCCCAACACAATTTGTAAAGATTTCTATATCATTTCAACAGATCCACCCACTCGGCAGCATCTGTTTTGGCATGCCCATAATCATTATGAGTTTCCTGGCCTAAAAGCCAATTCCTACTTGTATGACATATTCCATAAGAGAGAAAAAAGGAACAAATGTGCTTATCAAAGCAACAGAAAGCCAGTGCAAGGCCAGCTTCTGGTGGCTGGGAGATGTTTTAAATTGTGTTTGATAATTGCCTCTGGAGATTCCTCAGCTCACATGGGTTAATAATGTTAAGCAGGGCTAGGAAGTCAGAGAGAAGCGTTATCTTCCACAGGGAGCACTTGTAGGAAACGGTCTCTGTTCTCAGACAGTGGCACCCAGACTTCATGGTTGACCAAGCGCAGATGTAGGCCATAAAAATGTCCACATCAGCTGGCTGGCTACGAGGAGGAGCATTTTATCTCCCGAGCACATCAGGTCAGACATAAAGAACTCTGTCCCGGGCAGCCTGACCCTTCTGCCTTTGACGAGCATGTCACTTTCTGAAGCTGCAAAGGGCAGAGAATGGACTCTGTTCCTAGGTTTTTTTTTCTTTTTCCTTTCTCCCTGCTCTGCTTTGGCCCCTGTGTTAGGCAGAGCTGGGAAGAGCCTGACTACATGAGCAAGTGTTCTCAGGAAGGAAACATCTCAGGAATTGTGAGTTTTGGCCACGTTCAAAAGGGTGGGAAAGTTGGAGAGAAACTTTTGCATTGGAGAGGCGAGGCTGGTGCCTTGTTTTATTTAGGTGCCTCAACAACGCATGGGAAGCGAGCAGCTCGTACGCAGGGCAGTTATTTCTCTTAGGTCTAAGGCTAGAGAGTCACGGTCAGGGCACCAGCAGAGTGGGTACCAGGTTTATAAATGGTGTCTTCATGAACCCTCAAATGGGAAAAGTTCTCTGGGGTTTCATGGATAAGGGCACCAATTTTCTCTTGGAAACTCCACCACAGTGATCTTATCTAAGTTTAATTAACTCACAAGACCCCACTTTCTGGAGCCATTCCACCGAGGACTATGCTTCAATATACACTTAGTGGGCGGGGTGTGCAAATAAAAGAAGCCTTCGTCTCCCACGCTGGACCATCCTCAGGAAGGAAGTTGGGGATAAGTGTTCAGATGGTGTTCTGATGACACTCCTTCAACAGGTTGGATCCCGTCCTTTCTGAAATGGAAGATATTTAGTGGGGGCTTGTCTCGATGATACCCCTTTTTTGCCTGTCTTAGTGTAGGGCCACTGAAACCACCCTAGAAGGACATGAAGAGAGGTGATGCCCACTCTAACCATTGCCAGTGGACCCTAGTATTCTGAGATTGGCCAGTGATAGAACATGGAGGAAGCAGTCTTTGCGAGGTAGTTTAAGAAGGACTGAGAAGCCCCACTGTGTACATCAGCTCATTCTTTCTCTTTGAATTTCCGAAGTTCATTGCCCAGTTAACATCCCAATGCAGAAATGTTTATCATCACCAACAGGCTCACGCCAACATCGGTATAGCGCTATGTATGAGGTTATTGGTTCACTCGTCCCGGATGTCAGAGCAGACTCAGGGATGGTTGTTTCCAGGGGTTCTTGACTCAGCAGCAGATACATACATGACCATCTGACTCACAGGGGCTTATGAACTTGCTGAAGTCTGGGGAGCCCGCAGGGATTTTTAGAAGGCATTTAGCAGGCAAGCCTTCTTATTCATCATTTAGGCCTACCTTATGCAAACCTGGGTTTTCCTCTTTTGCTGCTGTTGTTGCATTTGGCCTGGCAACGGGGATGTGTTTTCCCTTCCCAGCTAATGTCTCTCTGCTTGATGTTTGCAGCTGGTGGACTTCAGGGAGGAGGTTTCCCAGATGCTGGGCTTAAACTTGACCTCTCTCACACTCCCCGACTATGAGATCATCAAATGTCTGGAAAGACTGGTCCATTCACACCGCCATCACTTTGTTACCTGTGCCTGCCTCACAGACCCAACGGCCGAGCATGACTGCTGCTCGCAGTGCCACTTAGCCCTTCGACACTGATCCCCTGCCTCAGAGACGGGGCGCACGTCTCAAGTTGTGGAATGAAAAGCTTCCTTATATTTTTGAAATTTGGCTAGCGTGTGACAATTATATACTTTGATGACATAGTGAGAATAGATCATGGGCTGATAATGGTCTCCAAAGGTGCTGTCCCCAGGGCCAGGGAGATGGCTCAGCAGGTGAAGGCAGTTGCTACTAAGCCTGAAAACCTGAGTTCAATTCCTGGAACCCACACAGTAGAAGGAGGCAGTTGACTCCTGCAAATTGTGCTCTGCCCCATACACATGCTCTGTTATACAAGTGCACACACATGTGCACACATGCACACACATACATGCACACACATACACACACATGCACACATACACACACATACACACACATACACATACATGCACACACAACACACACATACACACATGCACACACATGCACACACATGCACACACATACACACACATGCACACACATACGCACACATGCACACACATGTATACACACTCACATACACATAACACAAAAGTTAAAAGTCCCAGTCCAAAATTAATATTCAGCACTAAAACCACCTATCACGTCATTAGCTAGCTCATCAAGATCCACAGGAATACCCTAGGTTCTTGCTTTGATTGGGACATACCAGCAGAGTGTAGAAGGGTCGGCCTTCTGACCTAGAACATCACTGATGGCTTTACCTCTTAAGGTAACCATGTGCAGAAGTCTTCTGAGAAATAGCCTTTAAAATTATTTTATTTTTACTTTTGTGTTTTCACGTGTGTGTGTGTGTGTGTGTGTGTGTGTGTGTGTGTGCAGGTGCCAGCAGAGACCACAAGAGGGAGTTGAATCCCTTGGTACTGGATAACAGACAGTTGTAAAACACTTGGTGTGGGTGCTGGGAACCGAGCTCAGGTCTTCTGCAAGAGTAGCAAGTACTGTTAACAACTGAGCCACCTCTCAGCCCCATAAAAATCTATCTGTCTATATATCTATAGCTATCTAGTCTAAATACATACAATTTGACACATAACAATTGTACCTGTTTATAGATTTCTGGGTGACATTCCAATCCATGTATACAGTGTATGGTCATGAGATCAGGGTAATACAGTGAAGTCTTAATGTACTTATATGCTTTTCAGGGCTAAGACAGTTGTACTAACTCAGGGCTCTACATGGTTAGTGTGGGAGCCAGGACGTACAAGGCAGAGGCTGTGTCTCCTGCTCTAGGCACTCTCAGGTTCTGCCCAGTTTTGAGGCTGATAGGAATGGCTGGCACGAAGGGAGGAAGGAAGGAAGGAAGGAAGGAAGGAAGGAAGGAAGGAAGGCACGAAGGAAGGCAGGCACAAAGGAAGGAAGGCACGAAGGAAGAAAGGCCACCCTACAGTCAGGAGATGTCTAAAAGCGGGAGCTAATCACTCATTTGAATAACTCACATAGTCTGAGGGCTGACAAGAAGAATGGTTGCTTTTACTGCTGCTCTCAGGCTATGAATGGTGGTTTTGAGAGTTTGAACAGGGCTGTACTTTTCAGTTTTTATTTTATTTTCAGTTTCTATTTCCTTGGGATAGAGTTTCTCACTGACCCTGGAGATAGGCCAGCAGTCACCAAGGACCGCCATTTGCCATCTGCCACCCTCCTGTCTCTCCAGGAAGAGTTATAACCACCTGCCCAGTCACACCCAGACTCTGACAGATCCATCTGGGATCCGAACTCAGGTCTTCATGCTTGCACAGCCCGCTTACCCACAGAACTGTCTCTCCAGTGTCATCTTGTATCTTTATCTGTTTCAGTAGAGTAAACAAACAGAAAATCCTGAGACATATACAGCTAAACATTAAGTCCGAGCTGTGAGCAAGGCATAAGCTGATTCCAGACAACCAGGGATAATGGAGACCTATCGGCCAGTTGCAAAGCTAGGAATGAGATTGGATACTTGTTTGAACGGGAAGAAAGCATAAACATATTCTTGCAACAGCCGCGTAAATGGCTCCTCCAATACATTTTAAAAGTTACACAGCATCTCTCAGGCATGGTGGGGTACACATGTGATCTCAGCCACTAGGAGGCTGAGCAAACAAGTTTGACATGAAGTTTGAAGCCATTCTGGACCACATAGAGAGTCTCAGACCAGCCTGGGCTACCAAATGAAACCCTATCTCAAACCAAGCTAACAAGCAGCCAACTGGCTGACTATCCAACTATCCAGTCCTCCTGCAACTCTGAACAAAACAAATGTCCATATTAGGTTGGCTTTAGCTCAAGCAGTCACCTCCTCATGCCAGACTTTTATCTGCTTAAAGTGATAAATGTGTTATTTTCCCTTTGATTGGTCACTAGTTACATGTCGGGGGTCATAGACGACACTAGAAATAACCCATATTGATTGCAACTGTACTTTATCATGTGAAATTGCATTTCATTTATCCAAATGTTACGGCGCAAGTGTGTAAATAACCAATTCTTGATACATGTATTAATAATTCAATGTATTTGAATAGTCAGTGGAAGGGATATGTGGGATAAGCATAAATAAATTCTGGGCCTGCAGATAGTTCATGGACACAGTGACTGTTATTTGGACAAGCTGAATATGTGTTAGTTAAGGCATTTCCTTTGTGTTAAAATGCCCATTGTTTGCTTGCCTTCCCTGTGTGCCTTCATTCCAGAGTTGGCTTCCCATTTTCATGATGTTTTGTTTCTCTATAATGTCCATGTATATTTTATATTGTTCAATAAAACACATTAGATTAATGTGATTTTTAGATAAGCTCTTAAAATATTTAATACTAACTCGTCTAACAAGTGCACTCCCGGGGAAGTGCTACTGAGGTTGTTGTTCTGGTCGCTGAGACATCTAAATGTTTTCAGAAAATATCTCACAAAAAACCTGTTAGCTTGGATCCATCTAAATTTCCAGTTTACTCTTCTAGTCTTCTGAAGAACAGTGGCCAGTGATCTATCTAGATCAGGTGGCGATGGGCTGAGGGGCTTTTGAGGACATCTGTGATGCTGATGCTTTGAACATAGCATGTGGAAGAAGCTTCTAAGTTTTATTGGGGTAACATTTTATGGTGACTAATCTTTAACTCAGAAGGCTTCTTCCAGTTTGTATAGTAGGGTGTAACCTTATAATGGGGCAACAATGTCCATACTCGATACTAGAAACTAGCAAATAAAAAGCCCAGTGTTAGAAATAGGTTACCTCTTTAGAAGATACTGGCCAATGGGGTCTGATGGACCCCAGAATATTACAGCTATCACCAATACTTTTGGTTACTCTCCAGAACTTGATGGTAAGATCCTATTGATGAAGACACCACATACTTGAGTCATAGGATACGGAGACATCAAGCTGGTACTCAACTTGATCCTTCATCCCTACTGACTAGCTCTCATAGTACTGGAAGATGCCACAAACACTAATCTGTAATCTTATTCAACTATGAACCCTGTGAGCCACAATAATGGCCAGTCTGGCAAGATACGCCCACTGGTGCGATAGTGCCAAGAAAGTCATGGAAGCAACCAAGCACTTTCTGATTGGATTTCCTCTTGGCAAGATTTATTTATTAAAAAAAAATCACTGTATTACCCCTTTTTTGGTCTAATGTTGTAAGAGCTGCGGGCTGCGTTTCTGCAGCACAGCTCCTGGCCACCTGGCTAGCTTATGCCCCAAAATAATTACACGGAAACTGTATCCTTTTAAACACTGCTTGGCCCATTAGTTCTAGCCTCTTAATAGCTAATTCTCACATCTTGCCTAACCCATATTTAGTAATCTGTGTAGCACCAATCTTACTGGGAAAGATTCAACATGTCAGACCTGGCGGCTTGCTTCATCGTGTCTGCCTCACTTCCTTTTCCTCCCAGCATTCTGTTCTGTTTACTCCACCCACCTATATTCTAACCTATCAGGCCAAGCAGTTTCTTTATTAATTAACCAATGAAAGCAACAGATATATGATACTCCCACATCAGTCTAAAATAAAAAGGTTACAAGTAATTTAAGAAAAACTTATATAATCAATTTAATAACTATATGCAATATATACAGGCAATAAGTACGTGAACAACGTCCAATCCATTTGCATATGACAAATTCAGAGAAAATACTTGCCTCTGTGCAAGATGAAAACTGTATGTGGTTCTGATATCAGGGACTATGGCCTGAGTCCTAGGGGAGGAGCTATTACTATTGCCTGGTAAATGAACATGCTTTATTATTATAGACTAGTGTGTCTCTCAACTGTTAACAGGAAGGCTTCTTTTTGCAGTAGATGGAGATTAAGAGAGAGACCCCAAACTGGTTCAATGCAGAGAGCAAGAGACTGTGGATTGATTGCTTAGGCCTTAATGGTGCATCAGTACCACACCCCCTTTGCCCAAGGCTCAGGGATCATTCATAGATCATAGATTCTCAGAGCTAGAATCAGTGGCCATATCAGGGCAGTTGCACATACCAGTTCACAGAAGTTGAGACAGCATGCACAAAATCCTGCACAAGCCCAAACTAGACAGAATCCCCGCAGAGAAAGGGGAGCGAAGGCATGATGTCTGATCCCTCGCTAAGGAGCTGTTGACAATTGATATCCATTGAAAGAGGAGAATCCCCTTTCTTGGAGTTCAGTCCCCAGTAGGCTGACCATACTCCAGTGGAAGGTCAGATATTAATGACTATATATTCACACGACCCGCACTGGTCAGAACATTAAAATCTGTACCCACCTTCCCTTAGCCCAGCCCTTCACCCATACTCTCGAATAGCCATTCTTTACATCTGGGTTTCCCTGGTCCTCCATTTCCTCCTCCTTGCCTTGTCAATCTTCACTCCGGCTGGAGCCAGCCTACATCTTAGGTTCATTTCTCTCTCTAACACCATTGACTTCTTATTCCCTTGTTCTTCCGTCCTCCGCTTTGAGTTAATCCCAGCTACCAGTGTTTCTGCTGATTTATCTGCCCCACTGAATGAGGCTGGAGAAAATCACATAAAATCACAGCTAAGTGGCATCCCAAATCCACAGACAGCCCTTGATCTCTGCAGAGCCCTCAGTGCCAACTGGTCACCCTACACTGTTTTCCCAGTGGGATCTCACTGCCATTTTCTGAAACAACTATTGAAAATATTCGCTTTCTAACCGCCTTTATCCCATCTCTTCCTTCTTCATTCTCAGGGGATAATATCCTCTGATTCCACTCAGAAAATGGAAGCCATTACCAGAACCACCCTGGCTACCACATCCTAGTAATACTTTCTGTGTGTCCATGGACACACATTTTCTTCTCTCTTTAGCTTAATTCCACTGTCTACCAGGGCACTCACGTCCTTAGCAACCCATCCCACCCGCTGGTTGATTCTCTTTCAAATGATTCCATCCTCACCTCC